AATTCAGGAAAAAAGCACTTGGGTTTCAATGAAAACAATGAGCAGGAGTGCGTGTTCCAAAATATGAATTTGCACAGTTGTGAAAATTCACTCCGGGTACCTTGCCAGGTAGTCCATGTACCAGCTGAAGAATCCACAGGGCAGTGAGGTTTAATAAAAAAGGGCTATTTTTGCTCTCCCAGGCTCCTGCAGTGAAACAACTTTACTATTTCCAGCCCAGATGTGTCCTTCTTTGTTATAGATTTCATCACTTCCTGGCTTATGTGTTTATGCTTAGAGCCAGAGTTTCACATTCTATAAAATGTACTCATTTCAGTGCTGCGTGGTCCATAGGGGCCGATCTGCCCCTTCATATCCAAATGGGAACCACTGCCCCTAGGGTTGGAGATCCAGGTATTCTTCCAGCTGTGTAATGATCAGTAGTTTTGGAATCCTGGATCCCTGGGATTCTATAGAGGGTCTTCAGGGTTTTTGCAAATTGTGAAGGGTTTTATGCCCAACAGTAAAGATTTTGATCAGCTATGACAGCTTATCATTGCTTATTTTATGTATTTGGAGTCTCCTTAAAATTTTATTTTGCCCATTAGTGAAGTGTTCAAAAACCCTGGCCTAGCAACAAACAAGAATCCGTTGGTTTTCTGTGTACCAGCAGTGAGAAACCTAAAAGGGAAATTTGGGAAACAATAGCATCTAAGAGAATTAAATACCTAGGAATAAAGTTAACCTGGGATGGGAAGGGCTTCACATTGAAAACTATAAAACATTGCTGAAAAAGATTAAAGAAGACTTCAATAAATGGGAAGCGTTCCATGCTTATGGATTGGAAGACTTAATATTGTTAAGATGTCAGTACTACTCAAAGTGATCTATAGACTCAATGCAATCCCAGTCAAAATGCCAACAGCCTTCTTTGCAGAAATAGAAAAACAAATCCTCAACTTTATATGGAATGGCAAGAAGCCCTGACTAACTAAAGCAATGCTGAAAGAGAAGAACAAAGTAGGAGGGCTCATAATACTTGATTTGAAAACATACTATGAAACTACAGTAATCAAAACAGCCTGGTACTAGTAGAACAATAGCCACATAGACCAATGGAATACAATGGGGAGTCCAGAAATAAACTCACACACCTGTGATCAACTGATTTTTGACAAGAGTGCTAAGTCCATTTGATGGGGAAAGAAGAGTCTCTTCAGTAAACGAGCTGGTCAAAAAAAGACGAGACTTACTGGTCTGACAAAGAATGAAGGGACCCCGAGATCAGGGCCCCTGGACACTCTTTTTACTCAGAACTGAAGTCACTCCTGAAGTTCACCCTTCAGACAAAGATTAGACAGGTGTATAAAACAAACAATAACACACGTGAGGAGCGTGCTTCACAGTTCAATCATGTGTATGAGACCAAATGGGTACACCTACCCAAAAACAAAGACAAGAAGGCAGGAAGGGACAGGAAAACTGAACAAATGAAAATGGGGTTCCTGGGGTGGAGAAGGGGAGAGTGTTGACACATTGTGGGGTTTGCAAGCAATGTCACAAAACAATATGTGTCTTAATTGTTGAATGAGAAACTAATTTGCTCTATAAACTCTCACCTAAAACACGATAAAAAATAAATAAATGGTGCTGGGAAAATTGGAGTTCCATATGCAGAAAAAGGAAGCAGGATCCACGTGTCACACCACACGCAAAAACAAAGTAAAAATGGATTAAGGACCTAAATGTACAAACTGAAACCATAAGATTCTTAGAAGAAAAAGTAGGGGCCACGCTGTCAGGCCTGGCTTTCAACAATGGATTATCTAATATAATAACAAAAACACAGACAGCAAAAGACAAGAAATAAATGGGACCTCATAAAAATTAAAAACTTTGTTCATCAAAAGACTTTACCAAAAAAATGAAAAGACAAGCTACCAGCTGGGAGATTATCTTCGGAAACCATATATCCCACAAGGATCTAATAACCAAAATATGTATAAAACGTGAACAACTTAATAACAAAAAGGTAGGTATATACCCAATCATAAATGGGCAAAAGACTTGAATAGACATTTCACCAAAGAGAACATTCAAATAACCACCAGACACATGGAAAGATGCTCGGTGTCATTAGCCATGAGAGAGTTGCAAATCAAACCAATGAGATGCCGTTTCATTCCCATTAGGATGGCTGAGATTAAAAAAGACAGAAAATAACAAATGTTGGCGAGAATGTGGGGAAATTGGAATCCTTACCTGTTGCTGGTGGAAATACAAAATGGTACAGCCATTGTGGAAAGCTGTGGCGGTTCCTAAAAAAACTAAACATAGAACTACCATATGACCCAACAATTCCACTCCTAGGTCTATACCCAAAAGACTTGAAAGCAGAGACTCAAACAGAGACTTGTACACCAGTGTTCACTGCAGCGCTATTCACAATAGCCAGAAGGTGGAAACAACCTAAATGCCCATCAACAGATGAACGGATAAACAAAACGTGTACGTACGTACAATGGAATACTATCAGCCGGTAGGAGAAATGAAGTCTTGATACATGCCACAATATGGCTGGAGCTGGAAGACATTATGCCGAGTGAAATAAGTCAATCACAAAAGGACAAACATTGTATGACCTCACTTAATATAAAGTGGTTACTGGGGGCACGAAGGTGAGAGAAAGGGGAGGCTAATGGTGATGGAAAAATTGCATTGATGAAGGGTCGGGTTGCACAGCCAGCTATTGTAATGGCTGTCAATAAATAGTATGCCTGTAAGAAGTTGAACTGGTGAAAGTTGTGTGATAGGTGTGTTTACAACAATGACAAAAACATAAGAGTAGCTGCTGAGGCTGCTTATGTGCAGCTAAACACCTCATGGGATTTGGCTTCTTGGTTTGGAGGTTGAAGGTAATGGTTTTATGGGGCATCCCAATTAACTGGCCTAATAACATGGTTAGTGCTTCTGTTCTACCTCCTGGTTCGATGCGCAATGCCTGGGATCTTAAAAGCTTGCAAGTGGCCATCCAAGGCACAACAATTGGTCTCTGTTCGCCTGGAACAACCGAGGAAGAAGGAGAGTGAGGAATAGGAGGAGGATATGCAATATGTGGCTAATTGCCTCCATTAACAACTACCTCCTCTGCCATAAGACCAGAAGAATTGGACGGTGCCTGGCTACCATTATGAAACATTTTGATTAGAGATTCCATATAAGAATCCTGATCAAAATGGGGAAGATGCAGAACAGAATTTAAATACTCACGGACTCCAGGCTGCCTGGAGCCATGAAGGTTGGATGAACCCCTGAAACTATTGCCTTGAGATCATCTTTAAACCTTAAGCCGGAAATATCCCCTGAAGTCTTCTTAAAACCAAACAGTAGCTTAACTAGTAAAAAGTTATCTGCCTTGAGCATTGTGCTCTTTTAACAACTATATGGGATCAAATTGAAAACAGCAACTCGAAAGATTAAATAGAAAGCTTAGGGGGCAGTGAATTTATGTTAATGGTAGAGGAACAGCTCAGAAAAGGAGGGTGAGAATGGTTACACAACTTGAAGAACGTGCTGTATTTTTCCTTGAATAACGCCTGCCTTCTGTTTGCCAACCGCAACCTCTCCCCTGCAAGGTATTTTCTTAAGCCTCCCATGCTAATTTTTTTTACAGCAACATGTAAAAAAAATTTGCATAGGGGTGCTTATGCAAATACTTCATGGACGGAGGGCTTGGTTGGCAAATACATGTAGAAGGCGTGCATTATTTGAGTAAAAATACAATTATCAATGTCACTAAATGGTACGCGCAGAAACTGTTGAATTGGTGTATGTTTTGCTGTGTCTATTCTCAACAACAACAACAAAATAAGTAAAATTATATTTAAAAAAAACAAACCCTGATCTAGATACTACAAGGTTTCTTCTAGTTTTTAAAACTATGTAGTTATGTATCTTCTAATGAGGAACCCTGGTGGTGCAGTGGTTAAGCCCTTGCCTACTAACCAAAAGGTCAGTGGTTTCAAACCACCAGTGGCTCTGCAGGAGGAAGATGTGGCAGTCTGCTTCCATAAAGATTTACAGCCTCGGATACGCAGTGGAGCAGTTCTACTCTGTCCTACAGGGTTGCTATGAGTCAAAATTGACTCGATGGCAATGGGATGGTATCTTCTAATAAGGTCCCTGGGTGGCACAATCGGTTTGCACTCGGCTGATAACAAAAAGGTTAGCACTCACTCGGGTGCCATGGAAGAAAGGCCTGGTGATCTGCATTTGTAGAGATTACAGCCAAGAAAACCTGGTGGAGCTCAGTGCTACTCTGTAACACGTGGTGTTGCCGTGAGTTGGAATCAACTCGATGGTAACAGGTTTGTGTTTTTTGTATCTTCTAATACCTTAGGGCCCTGATGGCGTAGTGGTTAAGAGCTACAGCCGCTAACCAAAAGGTCGGCAGTTCGAATCCTTGGAAACCCTGTAAGGCAGTTCTACTATGTCCTATAGGTTCGCTATGAGTCAGAATCAAGTCAGCGGCAACGGGTTTTGGCTAATACTGTTAGCTCACCCAGGAGTTGTACCCCAAAGTGGCCTCCAGGTATCGAATTCTGGGTGGTACAACGGTTAAGCACTTGGCTGCTAACTGAAAGTTTGGCATTTTAAACCTGCCTCGCAGCTCTGTGGGAGAAAGTCCTGGCCATCTGCTCTCATGAAGATTACAGCCAAGAAAACCCTAATGGGTTAGTTCTGCTCTGTCACATGAGGTCACCGGGAGACAGAAATCGACTTGACGGCACCCAACAACAGCATTCAATAGAGAAGGAAACCAGAAAACCTCTCTTGGTCAGCATACCCTGGCCCACTAATTTAGACTTAATACAGACTCAGGGATTGTGTCCAATATTTTCTGCAGTTTTCTAGTCGCCAGGCTACCTGGTGGCATCAGGCCATACATGCACATCCTTGTGTTCAGAGGTGACATTCCCCACTCATTCATGTGATTGTGAGCTGTGTTCTCTCTGTCTCAGGCCGGGAACGTGGTGACAGGAGAGATGGTGGAAGAGCTTATCCTGTCTGGAGCAGATATAATCAAAGTGGGTATTGGGCCAGGTAAGACTTGCTGGGAACACAGCAGAGGGTATGTGTGGGGACGGGGCCTGGGGTTCGGGGAGACTGGAGATGGTGGCCAGTGCATGAGCCACAAGTGTAAAGCACATTTTTTCTGGAAGCATCAGTGACTTTCCAGAAGAAGCTGGCAGGTTAGAAACATCATAGAGTGACTTTCTGATGACTCCAGGGAACCTCTAAATGAGCTTGGGCGTGGTTAGAATATGAGGTCTTGCTTTCAGAACATTAATGTTCAAGAAAAGAGTGCAGATTTCTTTAATGGTCTTGTGTACCTTGAAGAGGAAGGTGAGGGGTGAAGAATCCAGGGGGACAGTTAATGAACATGAATGACTCAAGTTTTCGTGAATGTTTGAGGGGTCCCAAGCATTGCATATAGGCTTGCAGCTATGAGGCCACATTTGAACTTGACGCATAGCCCAGGCAGCTATCCCCCCTGGCTCCTCAGTTGATACACAGTCATAGATTTTTGCCCATATGGATTCTCTCGTAGGAAGACCCATTGGCATCTTGATGGAGGGAAGAGGTTGCGTCTTTGTATCCTCATCCCGGGTGGGGCCGTTTTCTCTTGGGGTCAGTCGGCTTCCACCTTCCCCTTTGGCTAAACTCCAGAACGAGCCACCATTCCTTCTTCACTGCCACGTGTTCATATTCTTCCTTGTACATCCATGATTCATCCAAAACTAAAATTGCAGAGAAGGAAGGTAGATACACATTTTTAGTTGGGACTGGAAAACCGCAAAGATTTTTATTTTTTAAAAATTCTCCCACCCGAAAGATACTTCCAAAAAAGGAAGCACACCATACACCCTGTGGGAGGAGTCTGGTCAAGTGCTGCCGGGAAGCAAAAGACACAGTTGTGTTGTGATGTGGCAGTCATCAACCTTGGGGGAATAGGATGCATATGAAGAGAAATTAATGAAGAAGAACCTTCTAGGCCCATAAAGATGCCCGGGCTTTTTAACATACAGGGAGAGTTTAAAGTGGCTTTTTATGTTACCACTCACCTACGCCAGTTAATAATGTATCCTGAGCAAGAGGACAGATACCTCTGTCCTCTGTACTGTTTGTCCCAGGGTGGTGCAAATGTTTTGCACTCGACTGTTAACCTAAAGGAGCACTGGTGGCGCAGTGGTTAAGAGCTACGGCTGCTAACCAAAGGGTCGGTAGTTCAAATCCACCAGCTGCTCCTTGGAAACCCTATGGGGCAGTTCTACTCTGTCCTGTAGGGTCCCTATGAGCCAGAATCGACCAGATGGCGGTGGGTTTGAGTTTTCTATTAACTTAAAGGTTGGTTGTTTGAACCATTAATAACATATCCTGAGCAAGAGGAGAGCTAACTCTGGTCTCATTACTCTTTGCTATTATTGAAGTCAGACAAAGGATAAGGCCTAGTTCTTCTTACAAGGAGCTGGCCACTTACGATAGGCTGTAGCAGACCAGGCAAATAATAGAACAGATTAGACTAATAATAGATCAGGATGATGGCTTCCTTCCAAAGGTAGGTGCGTTCATCAGTCACCAACTTAATCAGAAAAGTTTATGGAGCATCTGCTAGCTCCCATATTACTGAGTAGGTTCCCCTCAGAAAAGGAGCCCTGGTAGCGCAGTGGTTAAGTGCTTATCTGCTAATGGAAAGGTCGGCCATTGGAACCCACCAGCCTCCATGGAAGAAAGATGTGGCGTCTGCTTCCGTAAAGATTACAGCCTTGGAAGCCCTGAGGGGCAGTTCTGCTGTCCTGTAGGGTAGCTATGAGTCGGAATCGACTCAACGGCAACAAGTTACTGTATAAATATAAAGGTACATAAGCAATTTTCTTAGCTCTCAGAGAACTTTTCCAGATGTGGTCGTGAGCATTCAACTGCAGGGTTTCGTTCATCCATATCCTCTATGTACATATTCAGTTTCTCTAGAAGATTCATTGTCCTTCCGTGGTCACCCCCACCCCAACAGATGTGACTAAAGGGAGTAAGAGACTTCCCTTGAGCCTGATGTATTTGAGCCACTTCTTTAAATTGATTGGAGACAGTATTTAAATTTCACAAATTTCTTTGTAGTAAAAACACTGGGCATGGTATATCTAAAGGACAATATTAAAAATGGGTTCTTGACCCAGCAATTCCACTCCTCAACTTGAGAGCAGGAACTCAAACAGATCCTTGCATACCAGTGTCCACAGCAGCTCTATTCACAATAGCCAAAAGGTGGAAACAACCCAAGTGTCCATTAGCCAATGAATGGATAATCAAAATGTGGTATAGCCTTGCAATGGGATATTATTCAGCCATAAAGAAAAATGAAGTTCTGATAACGTGCTATGCCATGGATGAAGCTTGAAAATGTGGTACTGAGAGAAATAAGTCAATCACAAAAGGACACGCATAATCCTACTTACAGGAAATATCTAGAATGGGTAAATGCAGGAGACCAGAGTTTATTCATGGTGACCACAGGTGAGGAGAAGCAGCAGTGGGGTACTTGCTTCAGGGGTGCTGAGTTTCTTTTTGGGGTGATGGAAAACATTTGGAAATGGTTGCACAAGATGGTGAATATAATGTCACTGAATTAGATACTTAAAAATGGTTAAAATAGCGAATGTTTTGTTATTATATGCTTCACCACAATTAAAAAAAAGGGGTTCATCATTGAACTGCTCCCAGAAACTGAGAAAAAATATTAAAAATGGGTACCCTAGCCCCTCTCATTGGGAGAAAATACGTATCCAATTTCCCCTTTCAGTCTCCCCTGGGTATTAATCAGGACCACCCCTGCGCCTTATTTGAAACATCTTCCTTGGCTGTTTCCAAGAAAGGCAATTGACCTAACATCTGTAAGTGCCTCTCTGTGCGCAGAGCCCCAGGCTGGCTGCCTCCCTCACGGATCTCTACCGGAAGTTATAAAGCTCCAAGTCTGCCTTCCCCAGGGCATCATTGTCACTGGGGCAGGGAGTGCTTTCGTGGGGAGAGAAGCTTGTTGACTCCAGGGACGTCAGTGACACATGGAGGGATGACATGAGGATATGGACGTAGGGGGCTCCTGGCCCATAAGTAGATGGTTGCTGTTCTGGATGCAGGGAGAGGGGCCGGCGCTGTCTTCCTGCTGGTTTGTTTGCTGCAGCCAGGCCTGAGGAGTGTGGACGTGGCTGTCTGTCTGATCTTACCCTAATGACCCCTGGGAGAAATTTGTGGCAGTTGTGATGCCGCTAGTGGTGGGTGGTGAGGAGCTGGGGGTCAGAGTGCCTCCCCTCAGGTCTGGCCTGGGCAGGGGAGACGTCCACACCCGGCTTTCGCACTGGGGTTCCAGAACACCAAGTCAGTTGCCATGAAGTCAGTTCCAACTCATGGCAACTCCATGTGTGAGTAGAACTGTGCTTCGTAGGGTTTTCAAGGCTGTGACCTTTCAGAGGCAGATTGCCAGGTCTTTCTTCCAAGGAACCATCAACCTTTTGGTTAGTAATTGAGCGTTTAACCATTTGCGCCAGCCAGGGACTCCTGTTGGGGTCCCAGAGCACCCATAATCCACAACACCAGATACCCAGGAGGGGCTGAGTGAGTGGCGAAGCAGTGGAGACGGGAGTGTGGATGACTCCTCCGTTCTCCAGCTCATTCATTCTTCCAGCCAGTGACACTATATCTTGCCCTTACTAAGCATCAGGCTCTATTCCAAGCCCTGGATATACAACAACAAATATCCACGGTCTTACCTCTGAGTTTACCGTCTGGCCGAGAAAACAGACCCTAAACATACTCAAACACATAGTTATTTAAATACCTCCTTTTAAAATAAGTGCTAGGAAGGAAAACTTCCCTGAGCCAGTAGCATTTCAGATGAAGCCTGAAAGATGACAAAGGGGTGGCTGGATGTGGGGGGCTGGTCCGGAAGGGAGTGTCCAGACGGAGGGAACATCGGGTGCAGAGGATCCCTCCGGTGGAAAGACACCAGCTGTGCTGGAAGCAGGAAGGGTCAGCGCGTCTGGGCAGCGCGCAGCGGGGAGCCGAGATAAGGCGGTGGAGGGCAGCGGGTGGCTGCAGAGGCCCAGCGTCTTCTGTTGTTTTATTACGGCGAACAAATACATAACAAAACATTTACCAATTGAACGTTTTGTACATCTACAATTCGGTGACGTTGATTCCATTCGTCACGAGGTGCAACCATCATCACTGAAGCCAGGTATTTTGAGGAGGAGGATGGGTGGGGTACATGGGAGCTTGAGCTAGGTGGTCTCCATGTAGCAGGGTGTGTTGGCTTGCTTGAGGGATGAGACTGAGGAAGGGGCTTGGGATGGAGGTGCTGGGGTTTCCAGTGTAACTTGGCTTGGAGGTGATTGGATAGGATCGGACAGACAGGGTCAGCCAGGAGGTCAAGGGCAGGAAGGCGTCTAGGTGGCTGGTGTGAGTATTGAAATGGAGGCTGAGCTCTGAGTCTGGGCTACAGGGACTGACTGCAAAGCAGCAGATGTGTTGGGGGATGAACCTGGTCACGCTGAGGACAGAGCTGAGGAAGAGTGAGGTGTAGGAATGATACTAGCGTTAGCTCCTCTTCTGGGGGGCTTACTGTATGCCTGGAGTCCCTGGGTGGTGCAAACGGTTAATGTGCTTAGCTACTAACCGAAAGGTTGGAGGTTTGAGTCCACCCAGAGGTGCATCAGAAGAAAGATCTGGCAATCTACTTCTGAAAAATCAGTCATTGAAAATCCCATGGAGCAGGGTTTTAATTCTGACACATATAGGGTCGCCAGAAGTCAGAATTAACTCGAGGTCAACTGTTGTTGTTGTTGTTTTACTAGATGCCAGGCCCTGGGCCGGAAGATGTCCATCCCTCACCCCATCTCCTCTCCACTATGACTCTGTGTGATAAGTGTTTTCATTTCTGTTTCACAGACGAGGAAATGAGGCTTAGAGAGGCTAAGTCATTTGATACAGGTTGCCGGTAAAGAAGCCGTGGGGCTGAGGGAGGAATTGGAGAGGTGCCTGAATAGAGTGGGGTTGCCTGGCTGAGCCAGACACAGTGGCAAGGAAGGGACTGAGGCGTGGAGAGGTCAGCGTGCTCTATCTTACTGTGGAGGCTGATGTCACCGGGGACCGTGACAGTGACGGTGGGAAGGTGGTGTCCTGGCTATCAGCAGATGACGGGAGAACCTGAAGGGATGGTTTGGGTTAGGATGACCTTCACAGAGTGACAGGCAGCCCCTCCCCTCCCCAGGTGTCTCCTCTGCCATGGGCAGGTCAGCCCTCGGGAATCGGGGCGGGGCTGTGTGACCGTGACAGGGGCTCGCTTTATCCCACATTCTGCACGTTGCTAACCATCTCTCCTTGGGGTCCACTTCTTCCTCCTTGCCAGGGTCTGTGTGTACCACCCGCACGAAGACAGGCGTGGGCTACCCCCAGCTGAGTGCGGTGATCGAGTGTGCTGACTCTGCCCATGGCCTCAAGGGCCACATCATTTCGGTGAGTCTGCAGGTGGGGCTGGGATGGGGCTGGGACAGGCTGCAGGACCCTGCCTCCTGGCCGCCATTCACCCGACGGGCCTCCGTGGGCTTGGGAGCGTGCGGGCGCTGGGTTCCCAGCGACACAGCCCCTGCTCCTGCTCACTGTGTAGTGAGGAAGCGGGCACGTTAGTCTAACGGTGGGAGGTCGGGGGTCGCATGATGAGGGAACACCCAGGGAGCTCTGAGACATGGAAGACGGCCGCAGATCCCAGACTGGGGTCAGGAAGGGCTTCCCAGAGTAAGGGCTATGGAGGCCTGATGGTTGGAAAGGAATTTTCCAGGTGGAGGGGAAGAAGAGAAGGAAAAAGCATCACGGACGCAAAAGAGAATAACACACGAAACAATCCGGAAGTCAGCGTGGCTGCGGGAGAGTCGGCAGTGGGGTAGGAGTGAGGGGTGGCTGCAGGGCGAATGTGGACGAGAACCTGGGGGGGCCTGTCGCCCACATTACGGGCGGGACTTTATCTAGGAAGCACGGAGGAGATGCTGAAGAGATGTAAGCAGGAGAGTGACAAGTAGATTGATTTATCTTCGGAGCCATTAAACAGGCTGCCTGGTGGAGGACCGGGAAGGCACGAGGTGGAAGGGGCCCCGGAGGGGAAACGTTAGTAATTCAGGCAGGAGATGACCGTACCCTCAGCTCAGCAGTGGCAGGGGGGCTTGAGGGCCACATATAGAACTGATAGACGTTTAAACAGGACTTGGCCATTGATAAGGTGTTTGGGAGTGGCAAGAGAGAAGGAAGAGCCAAGGATGCAGCTGCCCACCCGCCCATTCACTTTGCAGCAGCAAAGGAAGAGGTTTTGGGGGGACAGTGTGGAGTTCAGTTTTGGCCTTGTTGATTTAGATGTGCCTGAGGGGCATCTGGAGTCCCGCAGGGGTGCTAGTGGTTCTAGTCCACCCAGAGGTACCTCAGAAGAAAGGCCTGGCAATCTACTTTTGAAAACTCAGCCACTGAAAACCCTCTGGAATGCCGTTCTGCTCTGAAACACACAGGGTCTCCACGAGTTGGAGCCCACTCCACAGCAGCTGGTTTTTCAGAGAGGCGTCTGACAGGAAGTCCATTAGGTATTTGGGTTCATGGGTTGGAAGCCTGGAAGTCAGTAGTCTGTAGATTTCCGAGACTCACTGGCGCCTTGAGAGTAGGTGACAGGGTCTGGGGAGAATGTGAGGGTGAGAAGTGAAGTTGACCCTGGAGGAACCCCAACATTGAAGTCAAGAAGACTGACTGGTCTGATAGAGACTGGAGGAACCCCCAAGACTATGGCCCTAAGACACCCTTCTTACACAGAATTGAAGCTATTCCTGGAGACAGCCTTTCAGCCAAACAGTAGATCCCCCGAGAAAAACTCACTGCCGTCGAGTGGATTCCGACTCATAGAGACCCTACAGGACAGAGTAGAACTGCCCCACAGGGTTTCCAAGGAGCGGCTGGTGGATTTAAACTGCTGACCTTTTGGTTAGCAGCCGAGCTCTTAAGCACTGTGCCACCAGGGCTCCGAACGATAGACAGGCCTACAAAATAAACAATCACATCCAAGAGAAACGAGCTTCTTAGAACAGTTAATCATATGAGACCAACAGGGCAACATCTGCCCAAAAGTGAGACGAGAAGGCAGGAAGGGGTGGGAAAACAGGACGAAAGGTAATGAGGAAGCCAGGGTGGAAACGGGGAGAGTGCTGACAGATTGAGGGGGCTGCGACCAGTGTCTTGGAACTTTCTGTGTACAAACCATTGAATGGGAATCTCGTTTGCTCTGTAGATCTTCACCTAAAGCACGATAAAATATTTATTAAAAAAAAATTAAAAAAGCCTCAGTGATACTGAGAAGTGAGGTGGAGAGAACCGGAGAGGACAGTGTGGCAGAGGAAGGAGAGGGTGGGTGAGCAGGAGGAAGTGGGCAGCAGGGTCAGATCCTCTCAAGAGGTCTCAGGTAACGAGGTTCCTGCAGTGGAAGCTCGGATGACTGATTTTCAGATCACTTTTCTAACGCGTGCAGCTCTTGCTGCAGTCCACAAATTGTAATAATTTATATTTTCCTTTCCATTTAGTTCACAATATTTTTAACTCTCTTGAGACTTCTTCCTTGACCTGTGTGTTATTTAGAGACATGCTGTTTAATGTCCAAATGTTTTGGGATTTTCCAGCTATCTTTCTGTTACTGATTTCTAGTCTGATTCCATTGTGGTCTTTGGGTGTACTTTGTATGGTTTCTATTCTTTTAAATTGGGTAAGGTTGGATGGCGCAGGATGTAGTCTGCCTTGGTGAGTGTTCCATGTGCGCTTGAGAGGAACATGGGTTCTGCTGCCGGATGAAGTGTTCTGTAAATGTCAGCTCGATCCAGTTGATAGATGGTGCTGTTCAGTTTAACTATATCCTTACTGATTTTCTGCCTGCTAGACACTGGTAGGAGCCCTGGTGGCGCAGTGGTTAAGAGCTTCAGCTGCTAACCCAAAAGGTGGGCAGTTCCAGTCCACCAGCCGCTCGTTGGAAACCCTGTGGGGCAGTTCTACTCTGTCCTGTAGGGTCTCTATGAGTTGGAATCCACTGGATGGCAATTAGTGCCTTTGTAAGGAGGCTTCAGTGAGCCAGCATCCTGGAAACCACATACTGTGTTACTGGTGTTTAAACATAGCCAGCTAAACATTGTGGGCAGCCCACGGATGAGATTCCTCCGCTAAAGGTTAAAGCAGCCCCAGATGTGTCCTCTGTCTGAGCGTGGGTGTCCAGAACGGATGTTTGATTTTTAAGGGAAATGGATACCTTCAGTGACGGTGAATAGGAGACATATGGGATGTCTGGAAATACAAAGGAATTAACTCCGTGTCCTTTTCCAGCTCTTCAAATGAGTCACCTCTTGTACTAAATAAATCTCACCTCACAGCAGGCAGGGCGAGAGAGGTGACTGCTGAATGAGCAGCTGGCAAATGTGCCCTCTGCTTGATACGGGTGGATGGATGGTGTGGGTGGCGGGGCTTGTCGTGGATTCTGCACCTGGGAAGGCTGCGGTCAGAGCCCCTCGCCAGCAGCGGCCCCAGGCAGGCAGTGGGCGGTGCCAGCCTTACAGCACGTGGGCAGGTGGTCCTCGGCAAAGGCCGCTTGCCGGCCTCTGCGGACAACAGGGCTTGGGGAATGGAAGGTGCGGTATTGCGGGGAGTAAACTAGGGGGGAAACAAGAGTGTTGGGTCTGGTTCTAGGAGGCACTGCGCCGCAGGCCAGTGTGTTCGGCTGGGAGTGTGGGGTGGATACAAACTCCCAGTCACCCTGGCCGAGCTCCCTGACTTCCTCTCCTTGCTTTTTCCTGTGTGAAGGACGGAGGCTGCACGTGTCCAGGAGATGTCGCCAAAGCCTTTGGTAAGGACCCTGCGGGGCGCAAGGTCTCCTTGCAGCTGCGCCCCGACGAGCGTGCGGGCTTCGGGCGGGCGGGCGGACCTGCCCGGCAGGAGCGAGAGCGAAAGGGCGGCACTGGGGGCGGGATGGG